GGAAAGAGAGAGGGGTTTTCTCCTGCAGAGTCCTTCCTACATGTGATCATCACGATGAACACGCATGTATGTGGAGCATGACGCATGCGCATGCGCACACGCACATGCGACTGGAGCCTGTACGTTTGGAACGAATCTGACTATGACGTTCCCTTGTTTGGATGGCCATGGTGGCATGCTGGATAGGGTGATTTCCTACGACAGGAGATCCCAAACTGTCTAAACCCCCAGAAGGAGCAGTTCAGGGGCATTGGGTTGTCCGTTCACTAGACGTTATAGAAAGTAGTCAATGCAACAGCTCTCATTCCTAAAAACTTTAAAAATGTTTACTGCTTCCTAACCTTCCTATATTACAAAATAAGCACCTATAATTCAAAACCTCAGTTACCTTTCTCTGTTCTCTCCTTACACCCCTAACGATACATAATTATACGTAATTACACATATTATTCGAAGGAACACTCACGTTCTACATACGGCTCTAGTTTGGGCTGAGAAATATCTGGCTTTTTGATTAGAGGCCACGCTTTCCTCTGCTCTGGATCACGGTGAAGCCGCAGTGGTCCAGGCTCCTCCGGGGATGTGCCTGACAGGTAACCCTGGATTCTTTCCTGAGTCTGAACCTTCCGACACGGAAATCGTCCCAGACTGCCTCATATGCCTCCACGCCTTCCTAAACGTCATGCTCCTCAGGTAACCGTTTCCCGATGACCTAAGGGCCCTCGCTGTGAACGTCGGTGACTGCGCTACCGCGTCACTTCACCCGGGGAGCAGAGCATCTGCTGCTCACCACGCAGACCTTCAGATTACGGAGAAACGGTTCGGCTGTTCAGAATCCTTTTCCTCTTTCGTGCTCGCTCCTGATTCCCACTGTCCCTTCCCCCTAGAAGCGGGGTGCGAGCTGCTTGTTCGCTGGCACAGCGCCTACCACACAGGAAGCCATCAACAATGTTTATCAATGAGACAGTGAGGGAGCGAGCGAGTCTGCTGGCTGGCTGGCTCGAGGACCGTGACGTACGCCACGCTATCTTTAAGTGTGTTGTTGAATAACATGGAGCGTCAACCAGTTCGATGCTTTTGTCATTTTGTAAGTTTGGCCCCAGAGGCCTCTCGAACTCAGAGCAAGGTGTGCACCCAGCACGAAGTCAGTGACACCAGCGAAGACCCTGAAAAGCCCTCTGGCCTGGGCTCTGCAGCAAGCCTCGTGCTTTGCTGCTCGCAGGCGCGAGCGGGCGGGGCCTGTCCGCCCCCGGCCCACCACTTCCCGCCACTTCCCGCCACTTCCGCACAGGCGGTCAGAGCTCATCTGCGGTTCTCGCCGCCCTCCTCCAAACGCTCCGGGTCCTGCCATGGGTATGCACAGCGATGGGATGGGGACCTTTCTGCAGTGGGGTTCATCAGAACCCCAGGGCCGCAGGCGACGCGGTGGGGGCAGATCTTCGCGATCCTCCCCAGGACGGGCCGATGGCGGCCCGGTCCAGACGTCAGGGACGGAGTGTGCGGCATGACTGGCGAGGGGCTGGAGGCCCGAGTCCCACAGATCCCGGGCCAGCGCCGGCACCTCGGGAGCAGAGGCCGCCTCAAAAGGGGCACGAGGCGTGATGGCAGCCACGGCCGAGCTGCCAGTGGCTGAGAGAGCGGAGGCACAGGCCCGAACACTGGGACAACGTTTTTATTTCAGTTACATGATGACAGGTCTGCCTCAAATTTTGCTGAGGTTTTGGTCTCTTTTGCACTGAGCAGTATCTTGTGACAGTATTATGACATCACACAATCTCATAAAGGGGGACCACCACGCATCATGTGCATTCCCTGGTGATTTTAATAGTTTACAATTAATTTTGAATTTAACTTTACCATTATATTTTTAAATGCTTCTTTATGTAGAAAATACGTATCTCGGGAAGACCAAAACAAGAGCTTTTTAGACAAGAATACACTGAGAAACAACAAATGAAAATATCTAAACAAAATATCAAAAGGGATTTGACTGTTTAAAATATCCTGTAATAATCTAATTAGCAGTTTGCACAAGAACAGTACCCGTTTGTATCGCTCTTTTGAATCTGACAAGTAGTTTTAAGATTAAAAAACAATTAGAAATAATTCCCTCCACCCAAATATTGCACAGGAAATGCAATTTCAACATTCATCTCTTCCAGAAGAAAAAAAAATTTTTTAAAAAATCTTTGTATAAAATGACTTTGGTACATAAATCGGCATGAAGTCAAAATCTCCTACAAATAAACTCAGGTTCCATCAGTGATAAGATCTAAAAGTATTGGTTGAGCTAAAACACTTCTATGAGGTAAAGACAGGGTCTCCTAGTGCTGTGAGAAGTCTGCCGTCCCTGACGTGACAGGAATTATCGTCCTGTGGTGCAAGTCTTATCACTCAGTGAAACTATGTGCTGTTTGGACATTTATCACCTTTTAAAATAAGACACCACACAGGTTACAACGTACATATCAAAATCAAATTTTAAAAAAGTACATCTATTTGAAGGAGAAGTTAATTTAAATATCTATGATACTCACAGTGTGGACATCTCAGAATGCTATTTGGTCATTTCAGTTAGATACTGATACACTTGGTCAAGAATATCCACATTCATATCAGCCTAAGGCAAATGTTAAATATGTTTATTTTGACTTTAAGCAGACATATAAACGGTGTGAAAGTGTTTACATACACACCGGAATGCACTCGGAACTTAACAGATAACAAATGTGTCCTCCTTTCTAATCTGGTGATAACCTTGATGAGATATAAATCTACAAGTAACAGTCTATAACTTAAAGTAGCAGATAACGTGGTAGTTGATTGTCATACGGTGCGGTGTGTCTATGCGATCTGGAGCATTCCATGAACCTCTCACGTGGTGATGACCTGCAGGGGTCTCTCGCAGTTGGACCTACTGCGCAGCCCCGGCCCGCTGGCCCCGCCCCGTGGGCGGAGCCCCAGCTCACGACAGGGCGCAGTCTTCTCTGCTCTTGTCCTCATTTCTGCCTCTCGCGTCTTCTTTGCCCTCGGAGCCGAGGTCTCCCAACGCCCCCGCTGGTGCCGCGTCGTGGTCTCCCAGACCGATGCCGTCCAGCAGCTCCCCGGCTCTCTGAGTCGGACATTCTGGCACCACGCGCCCGTCTGCGCCTTCTGCCTGGGAGGCGTCCGCGGGCTCCGCGGGGCTGCCGGGAGTGGCCCCGTCGCCAGCGGCACCTTTCACAACGGCTTCGTCTAATTCTCTGTCACCGGCGCTAGTGCCTGAAGCCTCAGCTGTGGCACCTTCGAAAGGGAGCGGTTCCCCGTCGGCCGCGACGTCCCCTGACTCGGCGTGTCCCTCGCGGTCGTCTCCGTTAAGCCGTCCGCCCGACAAGATTTTAGGGTTTTCTGCACAATCCACGTGCTCACGGCTTCCTGCTACCATGTCGTGCCCTGGATTTTCGGTTGCCTCATTTTGAGCTTCTCCACCTGATTTCTTGTCAGTAGGAGTGACCTGCCCTCCCTCCTGACTGTCACTTGGGGCTGGGGTCTGGAACGTTAACTCTTTTCTAACCTCCTGAGGGGTCTCTACAGGTGCCGGAGACTTTTTCTTCTTGTTTCTCTTTTTCTTGTTTTTTGACTTCTTCTGTGATGAATCCAACGCCTCCCCCGGTGGGTCGTTACTTTCCTCGCTGGGTTCTTTCACACCTAGGGGTCCCCTTCTGGCCTCCCCCGTCCTGGGCCCCGCTGCTCTCTGGCTGGGGAGCTCTTTCTCTAGACCACCCTCTGTGCTCGAGTCCAGCTCGATGAGAACACCTGCCACACACTCTTCCCCATGACTCGCTGTGTCACTGCTGCACCTTGGAGGACTCGAGGCTACTGTGCCCACCTGCTCCCCTAATCCGCTTAGCCCTGCCCCCGCCGCGCCCGGTGTGGGGCTCCCGCTTGGGTCCCCAGAGTCCGAGCTCGTCACCCTTTCAACCTCAGATACTGGCAAAGGAGCAGATTCCTGATGCGGTTTTGTGCTAACTTCTCCCACACTGGTTTTAAAATCTTGCGTTTCTTGTTCCTGTTGTTTGGCTGGCTTTTCGCTCTGGTTTTTGCTATCCAAGGCATCACGACTGACCTCCCCAAGCCTCGGACCTGGGCTTCCACTATCTAGTTCACCCAAACACCTGGACTGCGCAAGGGGAGGCTCGGACCGGCCGTCTGGGGTGCTCGCGACCTCATCTGACCCGACCTGCTCTGTACGTTCAAGGAGGGACGTGCTCTCTAAGCTCTGGCTTTGGACCTGATCCTCGTCTGTAGCATCTGCTAAGGTCCCTGGGGAGGGGGCACTGTCTTCAGGGGTTTTCTGGTCCTCGGCTTGCTCATCAGGATGTAACGCCTCTGCGTCCACACAATCCTTTATCGGGTCCTCTTTGTGCTGCTCTTGCTCAGTATTCTGCAAGATTTCTCTTTTCCCCACATTCTCCACAATTCCACCGTTCACCTCCACTTCATTGGCTCTTCCTAAAAGACCATTGAGAAAGTTGAGGGGACTCCACGATGTGCCGACCACTTAAGACACATCACAACGTACACATAAGCGCTCGTCCCCACCGGCCCCATCCCTAAGGAGAGACAGAGGCCTCAGAGAACCACCCGGAAGAGAAGCCCTCGCCAGCTCTGTGCCACGAAGCAGCCACTGCATCAGCAAACGTTCCATCAGCCAAGGCCACTGCCACCATCTCCAAGGCAAGTGGCCGCTGGGGCCATTTGAGTGAGCTGATTCTCAAAGGTGAGGTTAAGTTTAAACAGACAGAAAGGGCTCGCAGGCAGTGAAACACTCCAAAGGGACGAGTTTAAGGAAAACTTAAGCTTCGCGCTGCGCATTCTCGCTTCTAAATGCACGCCTGGACAAGGCCTCCTTCTTCAGCTGTCAAGCAGCACTGTGTGTCACAGGGCCCTCAAAGCGGCTTACACATAATCTTTGAAAGGAATGCTGAGGTCATCGGAAGAAACTCAGCCTCAAGGTCAATCTCAAAGGAGATACTTTGGCAAGAACTCACGTAACAGAAAAAGAAACCCACCCTCCGTCCCTTCGGCATCTCCCGAAAGTGGCCTGGGCCCTAAACACCTTCGCTCCGTCCCCTAGGGGGCTGGGGAGGCCCAGCAGGAGGCAAATGCTTAAAATCAGGACAACCACTTAGTTAAATGATTAATGGTTCATCGATGAAAGAATTTTGAATTGAAGAACATGTCACTGCTTTGGAAGGAAGTCATATTTTGGATTCTTCAGACTAACAAACCCCCAGTACGTAAGACGCTATATCACTGGAAGTCAAAGCTTGATAACTTTATAACTCAGTGGTCTCCATGGTGGGTACAGTTACCCCAGGGAAAACGGGGAGAGCGGGAGGGCTCCTATTTAGAGTTAATTTTGTTCCATGCTTTAAAATATTTCTTAGTGCATACATGTGACAACATTTTATATTAATGAAATATACGCATATAAATTTAAAATAAACATACGTCTCGGGAAGTCCCCACGTTTCTTCACTGATAGTGATGTGTGATCAAAAGACCGCTTATAAAACTGACATTTCTGGTTCTTTAAGTTTGTTTCACAGCGGGTCTCAGAGACGCACCAGGTGTGTGTCTGAACGGGGAGCAGCATGGTCAGGTGCTCGGCTGCTCGGCAGCTCGCACGAAAGGGGGATGGGACTAAAGGGGCGTATCTTTCTCAGCGACCTTTACACAGTGAAAAGAGCTGTCTGTCTTCCTCGACAGTCACGAAGATACTGAGACCCCCTGGAAGTCAGGCCCCGAGAGGCTGGGCCCCCAGGCTTCTGCATTTCCCGAAATGCAAAGAAATAAGATGAAAACGTCCAAATAGAAATTAAAAGTCATGGCCAGATGGGACTCTGGTCTCACTGTAGAAGCTGAGGACACGCTGGTGACCAGCGACCAGTGTGGAGCCGTACATGCGGCTGTAGCTTCAGGCTGCACAGCAGATTTTACTGGTTTATGCCAAAACCGAATATTATGTCAAATATTAATTAGTGAATCTTTTCAGATGTTTGTAAATTATATAAAATATTCCTACAATCGATTGGATTCCCCGCTTTATGATCTTTCAGAAGCAAAAATGTGACACATGAAGGAATGTTGCCTCTGACAAAGGGGCAGACATATTTCAGACTCTGGCTCATAAGAGATACCCTTCACACTGAACACGCTCACCACCCAGGGCTGCCTCTCAGTCACCACCCAGGGCTGCCTGTCCCTCTCACTGGCCACCCAGGGCTGTCTGTCCATCTCGAGTGGTATCATGAGAATGGCAATCAAGATGGACTGTCACAAGCCCCAAACTTCGGTCCGCAGGCACCGCGTACCCTCCAAATGCTTAATGGTGTGGAGGACTGTGGCACCGGCTTGCTATCTCGGTCAGGTAACTCACTCCACGGCGTCTGCTATTTATTAGTGCATACGTTTTATAAGACACGTTTTATATTAACGTCTGCATTTCTGACCTTCTGTAACAGAAGGCACATGTCTGAGGAAAACCAGATAGTACTGTCAAAACCGCCGCTTAACTCTGAAGCTTTCCCTTGCCTTCAGTCTCACTTGGTGGCTTCGAGAAGCAAGAGAAATCTATCTCTCAGCCACCTGTGCTGAGCACCGAACAGAGATGCACGCCAGACAACACACGCGGGTGGTGGCATCGCTCGGCAGAGAGATGCCCATGAGGGACGGGACAGATGGCATGCTGCGTGACTGTTAATCGCACAGTGATGACCGCTTTGACTCTAATAATGCGTGGAAGGTGAATCAATGCCGACTGGAAGGTGACGGGAGCCAGACGGGAACGAGGACTTACCTAGGGTCCCGTCCGCGGTCGCCTTGATGGCATTCAACTCTTCTCTCGTCACCTTGGTGGCCCCTTGGCATCCGACATCATTTAGCGTGTCCGAAGCCTCTCCATTGGCAGCTACCTCTGAATTTAGGATTATTCCATGTTTCTGGGAACAAAAACGGGTTCATTGTAATGCTTGCTGAGCGATGTTAGGTTAAACTCTATTTTATTAATAATCTTTTAGAAAGAAACTACTTTTCCTGAAGCAGAGAGAAATTCGACAGGGTCAGGACGAGCTGGATGGCACCCTCGTGACTGTGCTGTCCACATGCCGACAGCTGGGATGTCCCCTCCCACGTCTTAATGAGCTGGGGACCGGGCACTTTGAACGGTCATCCTTTCTACCTGGAGGTGATGGCCTGAGGCTGCCACGACGTGGAGCATCGAGCAAGTCAATGAAAAGTGACCTGGACTTTTAAAACCCTGGTTGTCTTCTTTAAGAAGAGACACGGAAACAAAGAAATATACACGTATTCTGAAAGGAATGGACGAAGTTTACGTTAAAGCAGGGCTTGAGACGTGGCTAGAAGGTTTGGGACATTCTAAAGAAATTCAGCTCACGCTCAGTTCACGGCGAAAGCCTCCAAACGCGGCTGCAGCACATGACGGCAGGGTCCCCTCTGTGCCGCTCACTGTCCCCTGCTGCTCTCACAGCCCTGGGCGGGGGCGGCCGCGTCACAAGCCTCAGCACTAAGCCTGTTCCCTCTGGCTCACTGCCCTGGTCTTGACCCCTGGATCCAAGCAGCTGACACCCATGTCTCCAGTGACTACACAGGGACCCGCCGGGGCCTCTCCCGTCACTGCCTCCTCCAGGGCTCAGGGCCCACCCAGCACGCTGACCCCCACAGCTGTCTGTTTTTATTTTATTCTTTTAACTCAGTGTCCAGCCAGCAGCCGAGGACCCCTTGACCCGGCCCAGACGGGACATGGAACATTCCTACAATCGAGTGGATCTCAGAGTCTAAACAGCGTGAGCCCCGCCCACACCCGTCCCACTACAGAAGCCCTTAAGTTTGGGTCTTTAGTATGAGAAACAAATCCATTCTCTAACTTTGAGTCATGTCCTGGAGAATTTGTTAATGAGTACGAGAAAAAATTTCGACAGTATATCAAAACGTTCTTAGAAATCAGAGTCGCTTCAAGCTCAGGTACGCCCGAGGACGTGAGGCCGTGGCCGGCCCCGTGCAACCGTATTTACTTCGCGTGTTTCTTTGGCCTCAGTTAACCGAAGATCTGAATCTACTAACACAGTTAAAATCAATGCCGTAAAATTAATCAACGCCAGTACACACGCACACGCTCGTTCTTGGGAGTCCCAGAGTTCCCTGGTGTCGCCGAGACGCTGTTTTTTTAACTGTCCTTTGGTTTCCTACCTTTAATTCCTCTCTCAGCGTGACTACTTCTTCTCTAAGGTCGTCCCGTTCACTCCTGATGGAATCAAAGAACTCTTTCTGCCTCTCTAAGGCCTGAGTGTGCAGCAGGGCAAAGAGAGAGAAGATGCGCACAGGTAAGCAGGTGACTTCGGAAGCAGAGGAAGAAGGAGGCTTCTACTACGTAAAGCGAGGACCATCGAGGCAGCAGATAGAATATGCTTAAAGACACAGCAAAATGCAAGTAATAAGCTCTCCTTGCAAGTAATGAAGCCTATGCCGCCAAGGAGTGCTCCCCGGCAGCCGCTTACGACCAGCGGCATTGGAGGGATTCCATTTGCTTCGTTTTCTGGTGCAGGTTGTGGTTTCACGACCTTGGTAGAGACTTAACAGAAGCCACGAGCCCATTTAAATGAGGGATAAACAAAGAACCTCCGGGGACGACTACTTTAGCAATTTAACTATCTTTCTATGTTGATTCTCGGCGTTTGTTGTCACAGATAAACATAAAACAGCCACAAAGTGAACCACGCACATGCGTGCACATGCACAGACACACCAAATCCTAAGCAAGTGTGGATGAGCACGTCAGGGAGCAGACAAGGGCAGCTTCATGGGGTCAACACGCTGACGATGCGCCTGGGGCCTGCCAGCGGAGCTACACGGTATGGGTCACCCTGTTTTGGAAGCCATCGTCATCGTGAAGCACAGCAGTTACTTTAAGTGGGTTTCTTCCCACTTGTCACTCCTGCATGCAGGTAGGCTGCCTCTCCTTTTCCTGTGCAGGGAGAGGATCTGGGGCCTCCCCAGGAGATTTGGGGGTGGGGACATGTGGGACACAGCACCTGCCACCATGCAGCATCCTCAAATCCCTTTGAGAGGAAGCCCAGGCAACGCCAGGCAGGGGATTCCAAGAGGTCTGGGCCTCCGTGAGTTAGACCTGCCGAGAGCCAGCCTCACACGCGTGTCGCGTGTCGGTGTGCCGCTGGCCCGCCCACAGGGCCGGGGGAGAGCCCGGATGCTGAGGGATAAGGGTCTCCAGGTCGGAAGTTGGCTTCCGGTTCAGAGTGAGCTGGCGTACGTGCCGTGTTAGTCACTCCGCGTCACGCGGGTGCTGCATGCATGCTCAAACAAGCGTTTCTGCAAACCCCAAACTCTGAAAGCCACACGTTTGCTAGGCAGACTGCCCAGGAACAGATTTTGAAAGACTTGAGAGTCCTACCCCTATCTTTTTGTCTTTCCATTCTATTGTCTCCTGAAGGTCAGAAATCTCTCTGATATAACTGGCCTGTTTCTGCTGTAGCTGTCGGATTTCCTGAAGAACAGGGACAGACAGGAAGAAAGCAGAGAAAGAGTTAAAACAGGAAGAAAACGCCAGTGCTGGACCTGCTGAGAACCCTGACAACCCCTGAGCCAGCAACACACGCGCAGGCGCCCGCGCACTCTCTCTGACCGTGACCCCACGCTCAGCACGCCCCGCGCTCCTCCAGGCCCTCCCCCCAGCTTCCAGCGGCACAGGAACAAAACCCGCTGGGCTGAAGTTCTCATCAAGTTCAAAGGTTAACGACTGACCCCGTATTCGTTTCCTAGTGCCACTGTGACGAGTCACCATGAACGCGGTGGCTTAAAACAACACAAACGTGTTCGCTCACGGTTCCAGAGCTCGCGAGTCCAAATGGGTCTCCCGGCTGAGGCCGAGGAGTGGGCAGGCTGGGTCTTTTCCTGGAGGCCCTGGGGTGGGGGTGGGGGGTCCGTGTCCATGTCCTCCCCTCTCTTAGCTACTAGAGGCGCCCACGTTCCTCACGTCGCTCTGACACCTGCTTCGGCCACCACATCCCCTGCTGTGCCTTTGACTTCCCCGCCCCCCTTCTGTAAGGACCGGGTGACACACGGGGCGCAGCGGATAACCGAGGATGGCCTCCCATCAAAAGGGCCTGAAAGGGCCTCCGCCGTATCTACAGAGTCCCTTTTGCTAGGTAACGGAACATTTTCAGGCTTAGGACGCGGACATTATTCTGTCCGCCACACCTCCTGGACAAACACAAAACCACGAGAGAATGAGCCTGTTGACCGAGAGGAACCGACTCCGTCCACGAGGCGTGGGGAGTCGGCCTAAGCCCTGGATTCTCAGGAAAGCCCGCAGCGACTTCGCAGTGAACCGACAAAAGGCCACGTGGCAAATGCAAAAGGGACCCGGGGCGTGCCACCTACCTCGAGCATCTCGTCCCTCTGCCTCAGGGCGGCCGTGGCCTCGGCGAGCTGGAACCGCAGCAGGCCGTGGGCATGCTTCTCCCTCTCCAGCTCCTGCGAAGGGACCAGAGCACTCAGGCCACGCTGGGGCACGCCCTCCCGTCATCCCGGCTCACGGCCCCTTGATGTACGTTTGCCTCGGAACAGGTCACCGTTATCGCGCCATCGCCGTTTTCCAGGCCTTCGTACACATGAACCCACGTGCCTGGACCTTCCAGAAGAGGCTGCGTGGCTTACTGTCGCATTAACCGAGGCGCTGATGGAACCAATGGCCTTTCCTCATGCCTGGGAATGGCCCGCGGGGCTGGCTGTGCTGAGGGCCTGAGGGGGCAGCTTTGCCGAGGACTTATAATAAAACTGTCCCCAATTTTGAAATATGACAAGGAATTCTCCTTGGGATCAAACGGGGGCCAGACAGGCCTGCTTTGACAAGCTCACCTCGTTACTGGGGGGCGGCCAGCTCTGGGCTCCAGAAACGGAGCCGGAAAGCTGGGGAGCAAAAGCGCCCGGCAACACCAGTGGGACCCCCCTCTTTGAGACTCACCCCAGAGACCCAGGGACGCAGCACCTTCCGGTGTCCTGCTCAGCTCAGTGCCCCTAACTGCCAATGGCTTTGGGGACGGCAGGGCTCCCTTCCCTAGACCTGTGAGCGGGGTTACTTCACAAGGGATCGGCCCTCTGCTTCTGCTCACCCCCTTCCTGAAGCCTGGGCTGGTGGGTCCCCTCCTCGCTGGGACCGGGACCTGCCTGCTGGGCTTTGCTTGGCTTTTGGCCTCTACCCTGAGGCAACATTGAGGGCCCCCCACTCCGCTGGACTCCGGTTTGAAGGCCCGGGTCCGCTCCTGATGCCTAGCCGACGACACCCCGTGGGTCCCCAGCCTGCATACGGTCCCCGCCCGCCAGGTGGGTTCGGGACACGCCCTCTGCCCCGCAGCCAAAGAGGACGTCGGGTGTCAGAGGTCAGGCCTGTCATGGGTGAAACCCCTCCCCAGCTTCTAACTCGATCCCACAGCAGCCAAGGCGGCCTCGGGCTTGGTCCCGGGACCTGATTTATACCTTTGGCATTTAGAGCTCAGAGCCACATTTTTAAAAAAGATAATTAAGTTTTCTTGTTTACCTTAGCAACTCTGAAAAACTGAACAACATTCTATGGTTTGCTAGACCGAGTAATTCCTAAAAACATGAGAATCAAATGCTGCTTGCTGTGTTTGCCACGAAGAAGACCCGGGCCCAGCCTTCAGCAGACCAGAGGCTGTCAGGGGTCGGAACACAGGCTCGTGCTTCGTGCTGGTACTGTAAGTGAGCACGTCAGCCCCGGGGTTCTGGGTCAAAGGGCAGAGAAGCTCCGCCCTTCTCTGCGCTAGATCAGTGTTTAATTCTTACACGGAGCAACTGTGCTGTTTCCCAATCGGCAGAAATTAAGTGGATGTGTTTCCTTAAACGTCTTTGATACTTGTAATCGACCACTTCTCTATGGTGTCAGGAGAGATAACAAAATAAAACCCGGGAAATATATACGAACAGGAACATCTTGAAGCAGCCGATCACGCCTTACCGCAGCGTGCTGGTCTTGGGTAGGCGTTTTTTCATGGTTATGACTTTACCTTTCATGAAAAACACACACGTTCTAGTAAAATCCCCTCTATTTTACACACTGAAATGTGCATATCAGTATTTCAAGTTCCTCAGCAAAGAGCATGGCATTCTTCCCAGGTGTCTGGGCTTCCTGGACAAGGACAGAGTCATGTTCACACACACACACACACACACACACACACACACACACTGAAAAAACTTACTGGGAAAAAAAAAGTTCAGCACTTAATGGAACCTGAAAACACACACACCAAATATGTATATTTTCACATTCCACTATTCTGACACGTACTGTAGATACAACCACTCTCGACACGCACTGCACGCTGTTTCCCGCCACGCTGACGGTCCCTGTCGACGCGTGCGTGTGCACCCTGCACTCTGTCACCAAAGCTTACTCTGCTCTGCTCCTCGTGCTGCCGCCGCGCCTCCGCCAGCTGCTCCTCGAGCTCCAGCAGCACCTCCTTCAGGGTGTCGACCTGGTACATGAAGTTGGTCTTCTCGTTGTCCAGCTGAGCGTTGGACACCATGGCCCTCTTATATTTCTCCTCGACCTCCGCTAGCGAGTCCTGCGGAGACCAGGCCATAGTTTTGAAAACGCGGTACGAAAACAAAAACAAACATTAGCTCCGTATCCGTGAAAACAAAACACTCGGCCCTACATTGAGACTTGCTTTCTTGGTGCAAATGAGTCAAAATAGGAAACACACGGCAATTTCAGTGCATAGAAAACCCTTTTCGATCGGATCGAATTCTCAGCAGCTCAGAAAATTAGTTATTAACTGTGTCAAGGGACGAAGATAATTTCCACGGTCACTGGGGCAAGGGGGACACCCGGAGGGAGAGGGGTCTGGGCACAGAGGCAGCAGAGTCCTGTCTCCACGGTTCAGTAGCCAGCTGTAATGAGCTGGGTTGTTCGGCAGGTTTCTGAAGTAATCACTGGTGACGTGTGACCAGAACCGGGGACAGAGCCAGCGTGTAATGGCTGAAAGAACCAAGCCCCTGCCACGAGCTGCCGATGGCCCTGTCTGGGCTTATGAACCAGGAAAGGATTAAGTAGAATTTCAGATTTTCAATCCATAGGAAAACTAAACAAGGTACACAGGCCTCAGTGGGCGGATCCTGGAGAGACAAAGGTCGCTTCTTGGAGAGGGCAGCCCAGGGA